CCAAGATCTGTTGATTATATGCATCCGAGCACTGGCGGTACGTTCTTTCCCAAGAGGCAAAGTCGGCACTGGGGAAGAGGCGGCCCCAGGTCATGCGCTGGATTTGAGCGGAGTCTTCCATCATCTCCCGGACCAGCTCTTTCTTCTCTTGCTCGGCCTTTTCCGAGAGCTCTTGGGTAAGACTCTTCTCCTGGGTCACCAGGCGTTCCTTTACGTTGGCCAAGGATTTCTCCATGGCTTCGTAAGAGTACATTTTCAGGTGAAGAGGCTTCAGCTCGGCCTTGAGATTTCTGATGGTCGCCTCCAGCTCGTCATTCTTCTTCTAGGCCGCCTCTAACTGAGCCCGAACAGCGGCGGTAGCCTGCGCCTGATAATAAAGAATATCAATGGTCAGTACTTCATTTTGGGCAATTTGAAACATTGCCTTATCACAGTCAGAGGCGGCCATAGCTTTTGCAGCCTTTACCTCTTTGTTTTTCCAATCAAGCGGCTTGCGAAGGCCGTTAACTCGGAGCAGGGCCTAAGTACGAAAAAACAGGCGTCAGTTTCCAAACAAAAAAGAAAACAGGCGTCCAGAAATTCAAATACACAAAAATATGCTAAGTATACCTCAGCAAGGACCCCTGCAATCCCGTCAAGGTCAAGGGTGCCGACACCCCTGACCGCCTCCCTTTCAGCTGGAGGAACTGCCCTGATCATAGACTTGGCCATCTCTACCAAGTCAGGCTCCTGGGGGCCGGCTGCATCAAGCATAAACAAACGGTTTAGACTTAGTAACAAAGGGAGCAAGTCTAAAATTTACAAGGACAACTTCATACCTCTAGGCGTCCCAGTTGGAGCTTTAGAAGAAGTGGCCGGCTGTTTCTCAGCCGCCACCTGTTTCCTGGCAGAACCAGGAGAGCTCCCAACAGTCGTCTTCCGGGCCTTGGGGTCCGGCTGTTGGAAAGATGAAGCTCTTGGAGCACCCGTCTAAAAAAGAAGAAAAAAATTCAGTATAGGTATAAACACTCCAAAAAGAGGGTGAAAGGTTCGGAGCTCACCAAGGGTGCCCCCTTCTTGGGGAAGTCGGTTGAAGCTTGTTGCATAATAGAGGCCCGCAACATGGCCGCCGCAGTCTTGGAGGCGGTGATTTTGCTCATGGCGTCAGCTGCAAAAACAAACAGCAAAGTTAATAAAAGATAAACAACAAATGTATTAAACAACAGAGTATTCGACAGGCCGACTACCTCTTGAGCACCGACTGCTGAGGCCGCAGGCGGCCAAAAAGTACTCGTCATAGAGCCACTTGAAGCTCGGGACGCAGTGCAGGGGTACTTGCTCTCGTACCCCTGAAGTAGAGTCGACCCTCGACTCTACTTTAAAGAGTCCTTTATCAAGGATATCTTTCTTAGCCTTGGGGGGAACAGGCGGCATGCTACGACCGCCTGCAAGAAGGGGCGGATTCCTGTTCCACCTATTGAAGCGCTTGTTCTGCTCAATGTCAGAACTCTCAATGATGAGGAAGGTGCTCCGCCAGTCCTTCCACTTGTTTGCTTTACCTCTCGTCATGAGGTAGCCCCTGTGGCTTGTCAATTGATACCATCCGGTACCGCCTGTCTTAGGGGTCCGGCTGAGATAGTTCATATGGGCGAAAGCCTCGAAGCTCGGCTCCACCCCGTGCAGTTCGCACCCGGCCACATAGCCGAGTACGTTGACCCAAGAGTTTGGGGCTAACTGCCATAACCCCAACTCATACCCATCCAAAATCCGCTGAACAGCCGGATGTAATGGGAAGCGAAGCCCTGCTTTGATGGTCGCCTCGTAGCAGCCAAAGCAGGAGCTTTCATAACTTGAACCAGCCGGCCAGACGACTGTGTCTTCTGGATCCGGCACGAACACCAGAAAGTCGGGGCCCATGGTGTGGTTTGCAATAAAGCTCTCCACTTTCTCTTGCATGGCTGTGATTCGGCCCCGAGGTACCGTGCAGTAGTAGGGGGTATTTAGCTCTCGGTAAGAGGCGGATGGTTCCGCCCAATTGTCCCCCTTCTCAACTGCGTGAGAAAGTCTCGCCTCTTGCAGGCGGCTGTTTTTCTCTTCTGTACCCAAAGAAGCATGGCCAGAAGAGCTTGACGAGGAATCGTCCTCGGACGAGTCTGAAGAGGAAGACTCCTTCCCTCTCCCGGAGGGGCCCGCCTCCTCTCTTTGAAAAGGAGCAGATTTGTTAACTGTTAAATTGGAAGGGGTCACTATGACTCCCCCCACAGAATTGCCGGCATCCAGGCCGCCTTGTCTCACTTCAACATCTGGCGCCTGGTCAGATGTTTCACTAATCGGCACCCTGTGGGAGGAGCCGTCTGAATTTGAGATCCTAGCTGTCTTTTTCGTTCTGGCCATCCTGCTCTGCATAGAAACAGATACAGTCGGACTTTGTATAAAGGGCAAAGATGGGTCCGGAAAAGGGCAGGCGGCACTCCTAGTCCTAGATTCAGCCGTCCCGGTGACCGGCTGATCACTAACCTAGGTCGTGTCGTGTGCTTCCGTGGTGCCATTTCAGAAAATAAAAAGAAAATTAAGAGTAAGAGAACTGAGTTACCTGAACGAGTGACAGTTGATGAAGTTCTGAAAATCCTGTGCAGTCGGCTTGTCAGAACAGGCGGTAGGCAGAAAAAGTCCAAAATGTCAGAGCAAGTTCAGGGGTCCGAATGTTCTCAAATAGTTCTCAAAGTGTGAAAATGACTCAAGGCAACTCTCCCTTATATAGGCGAAGTGAGAAGGCGAAGGGTCACTTCCAGAATTCAAAATTTGGGCGGGAAAATCTCTCGTCCTTTCGCCGACTGACACCTGTAGCAGGCCGTCGCCCGTTACTGTGCGACACCTGTCACAGGTAACACGTGACCAATCACGTGCCACCTGTGAGGGGCAAATGATTAGGGGATTTTTCTCCTACCAATCGGAATGCGCCACGTGGACCAATCAGGTCCTGCCAAGTGTCTCCTAGTTGGACCTGTCAGGGCTTGCCACGTGGCACGCGCTTATTCGTCCACCTTGGACCTGTTATGTCACGACATGTGGCATACTCCATGCCTAATGGAGAAACCGGCCACCCAGACCCAATTTCCGAGGGAAGCCCAATCGGCCCTAGGTTTACCTAAACCTAGGATGGGCACGCTTCCCAAGGTTATAAATACCTCCCTTAATCCTCATTAAGGGGAGGAGAAGAAGTTTTACGAAAAACATTACGGAACAAACACATTAATTACACACAGTAATAACCGGCTGATCTCGCCAACAAAGCAGATTACCTACGCTAATCACTCACACCTAGAGAGACCTAATCACTTTAATTTCCGTATTAATTACTCCTTAATCAGTTACTAACTTGACCGTTGGAGGCGGAGCTCACAGGAGTCTCCGTTATTTTGCAGGTACAGGCGTCCGGTTCCAGTCTCGGAATTGTAACTCTCCTGCAGGACATCAGAAAACCCCGAAACAACACCTACTTTAATTTCTCTCTCATCAGAGAAACACCTGAGTTTGGAATCCAAGCAGATCCCCACCTAAATTTCCGTACTCTTTATTCTCTATCAAGATACTAACTTGATCGTTGGAGGCGGAGCTCCACCATCCGGAGTCTCCGCTGTTTTTGCAGGTACAGCTCAGCCGGACCAATCTTTGTGACGTAACTCTCCCGAGGGATAAAAACACCTAAAACAAGTTTCATTGGATTTTTCATTTGTAAATAAAAGTATGCTTCATTAGATAGTAGATTTGATATAAAAGCTAGATAACTGATGAGAGGATTTGATGTATGCATCGAGACGATTTTAAGTTTTAATACAGTCCCACAAGGTTATGTTCCTTTAATCTCAAGAAACACTAATGTTTAATTGTGGGGTGGGTCAAATAAACAAGGACATAATCGGAGGAAGTTCTAATGTAGAAAATTGTCTCTCGCAATTGCTTTACGACTCAAGCTTGGAAAATTCTGTCTTATGGACACCACATAAGTCCTGCACAGAGGTTTCTTTCTAAATGAGATTTCAAGAAACCACTACTGAACCTTCTCTTGAAACCAAGATATGAAATTGCGCCAAATTTTGTAAGTGGAAATAGTGACAAATTTCTTTTTCTTCAAACAAAGGATTCAAATTTTATTTGATAAGCTTGTCTTATTTGCATAGCCGTAAAAGACGGAGTGCAAGATGACCTCTTGCACAGGCCCCCAATTTAAGAGGGCCCAATTTTTTTTTCTTATTTTTTATTTAATTAATTTTTTTTTTTTTTTGATAAAAGTTGCTTACTGACTTCTTGTTTCTCACGCCAACCATATCAATGAAGCATTACTCTCCAACAATTACTACGCTCATTTTCCTCTAATCCTAGTTTCCATATAATTTCTACAATGTTCTATATTCTTCCATTAATTCAAGTTATTATTTTCATAAATACATCAAGTTAATTCTACGAAAAAATTATATTGCCTAATTCTCCATTCAAGAATCTTTAACAGATTATTTTAGCCAAATTCAACCAATTATTTTTCTTGACGATGACAAAGAGCAATTAAATTTAGTTTTCCATAATTATTCTTACGAAACGGCTAATGTATTTTCGCACATATATATGGGTTATGTTCGTCTTTTTGAGGCAATATATATGGGTTATCTCCAATATGTCTTCAATCATTTAATTCCCATATGATACCCAATATACTATGTGAATTGGAAAAAAAAAAATATGGTCAATTAGTCATATTGCTCTGTGAATTATTTATTTGAGTGCTTTCTGCTTTGCCCATCCTTCGTTTGAGTCAAGGTTTTTTTTTTTGGACAATTAGTTTCTTTAATTATTACTCCGTAATTCTGAATGTATTATTTTGTTTTATTTATTTATTGAAATAAAGGTAGATCGAGTTGTATTAGTTTGAAATTATTACGTAATTGTATTATTTTTTATCATTAAAATATTATTTTATTCTATTTTAAAAGCAAATTAAAGAGACAAAAATTAGAATAACTCAATCATAGATTAAAAAAAGTAAAAATTTGTATAATTTAAAAATTTTGAAGGGCCCTTTTGTTCTTTTAGAACAGAGCCTCGAAAACCATTGCAACGGCCCTGCTTATTTGTACATGACCAGATCACCCTGCAATACTAGAGTTTATTTGATACACTTGTAAGGTACATGCCAAAACATAGAGAATATAGGTATTAATTTGATACACACTAATTAAAAGTAAAATCAGAACACACTGTGCTGATTATTTTGTGACGAACTGAAATAGAAATATAGCCTTATTTCAGGAGTTTCGATGACATTACCATAGTCCATAGGCCAACAAGCCAGGACACCAAATAGATTATGCTTCACGTAGTTATATAGGAATAGGCTCAAAAAGTAGTGATGCAATTTTATCCTGTATGATCTGGTTGACAACAGTATAACCATCGGTTCTTCCCTTATAGGAGATTTCGGGTGCACGAGCAAGGTTGATGATTCGATCCAATAAAGGCTTTGGAATCGAGTATGGTCGAAGCATTCCTTGGTTTAAATCCTTCCATGCATCTTCCACTTTCTTTTCAATAACTTGGTAAACATGTTGTTCGTCTGTGATTCCTGTTTCCTTCATGTAGCATTGTACAAAAGAAACTACATGATTTCTACTGTCCTGCTCAATCTACAACACACATGTATAATTAAGATAATTAGTTATTGCTAATATATTACACGCAAATTATAAAGTAAATATGTACCTTAGTGCTTGCGATGTCATTTAAAAGCCTTATAATCATCAGTGATGCTTCAACAACCTTAGGCATTGGTTCTTGGCACACCCATTCAAAGTCGTCTTTGGTTGCAATGGGTTCGGTCATGCCAAGGTATGATCCGACGATCCCTTGAATTTGGCCAATTGACACTATAGAAGCATCAAGGTACTCATCATATTTGGGAGTATATTTTTCCTTGAGCCATCCGGCTTCTCGAAGCCAGGCCTCACAACCACGGTAAAACTATAGAGCCAAACGCATTTATATTAGCAAACATCTACCAACATATAAGATCAAAACAGTGATAAACAAGGTGACCAAAAAATCAAAAATAGTTGTCATATTGTCCATTAAAGTCCATGATTAGCTCAAAACCAAAGCAATTTCTCTTGTGGTTAACTTAGAAGTCCGATCTTAATTTACATACATCCTATATAAGAAGCATAGCTAATGAAAAAGCCTAGCTCTAATGAGAGTCGTACAATATTATTGTGTGAATTTAGCAAATTTATTTTAGCTTTATGTTAGTATATGTTAGTTCGTTGTGGGAGTAGATCGAGATGTTAGCTAATTAAGCTACTTCAAAAATAAAGTTATCTTTGAACAAACCCTATTATGTAACATCAAATACTTCATTTGAATTTAGGTCGAACATACCTGCTCTTTATAAATTTGTGCACCGTATGACCTGCCTTCTTCAGCTAAATCCTTCTCAAATCCATCAATTGTTTCAAGCAGCACTTGATACACACTATTGAAATATTCTGGCAGTTGAGCTACGTAGCTATAATCCCACCTATGTGTTTAATATGTACCATTAACTTAATTCCTCCAAAGAATGCAATAGTGCATGCTATGATAATCTAGAACAATATTGATTCTTCGTATAATATAATTGAATTCACGTACCTATGAACTGCTTCGACAAAGAGTTTCAGGATATCATGAGAACCATATGCGTCGAAAATGTCGTCAAAAACCTCCACAATCATAAATAGTTTGATGAGTATTTGTCTAGCACGACAATATTTAGGTTCATAGTAGCATCCCAATATCCAAAAGTGAGCCTCAACCAATCTATCTCTTGCAAATGGTGCCTTCGAATACAGGTCTTTCCACCAACTAATTGCACAGATAGATCAATTATAACGTCACATTGATACGTATTGATATTAAAAGAGAGAGATGTTTGATAATAAAAAAATGCTAAGGGGCTACTTCTCTTATTATCCAATAAAGAAAAAGTGAGGTATTACGTAGAGAATTACCTATCGATATCTTGCAATTCCTTTCGATGCAATAACTGAAGTAAATTGAAGTCTAACTTAGCCAAAGTGAGTAGAGTTTTGTTGTGAGAAGCATCTTGTTCATAAAATCCGATGTAATGCTTTGACTCTAATCGAACAAAGCCTAGGTGAAGTGGTTGGTGAAGGGCGTGAGCTACTTGTTCAGCCAAAGGAGAACTCAACTTATCGACTATAAGTTTAAGATGCGTAGTTGTGAAGGCCATAGCTTCGTCTAGGATATCATCTCCATGGATACGAACATGGGATGCCTCATACAAGCTTAGGATGCCTCGAGTGTCGTTGAGTATGCAATCGTCAAAGCCTCCTTGGTCATTCTTAAACTTCTTGAAAACATCTTCATAATTTATCACCAATCATGTTAAGTATAATCACAATCATCAATTAATAATCAATTAAACGGAAAAACTTTAAATATAGTAAAATTTTATAAGTTGTCCTTTACATATTCGGATGTATTTTGACTATTATATTATTTCTACCTGATCGAATTGTTAAGAAATAAGCACTCAAAAAGAATATTATGATTTGTTACGTACCACAAGACACATGATAACCATGCTGTCTGAGGATTCGAAATCGAGTAGAAACGTGGTACAATTCATCTCTGTCACATTGATCATGGTAGTTTTCATACACATGAAGTAAAGCTTCCTCAATTTCCTTCTCTAAGTAATACGCCAACCCAAGGCGTTCAATTGCATCGATGAAATTCAGCAGCTCCAATGGCTTGTTATTAGCATTTGCAACTCTTGCACGTAGCTTTTTTTTCACTTCCTCTTTTAGATGTTCAACATCTTGCTCCTTTTTAAGTTGGGTTGCCTATATCATTCATTTGCCATTTCAGTTTGAGTTTGTTGCAACAGATAAAAAAAAAAGGTTCGTAATACTCGTAATAATTTTTTTTTTCGTGTACTTAAAACAAATAATAAATAATAATTTGCCACACTAGGTCCCACACAATCATAGTAAGATTTCAATCTTGTAAGAAAAAGAATTGACTAGAATATTATCAAGTTGTATCAATTTTCTTAAGTTTAACAACCATAAAAGAAAGTTCATAAGCAAAATAATATACTTCCTTCATTCTTTTATTATTACAACAATTGCCTTTTTAGGAAATTCATAACCATTTTCTCTTTAGGAAAAAATTTAGTTGTATTCATACTACAAATACCAAACATAGCTTTGTTTTTTCATACAAACTTCTTAGTTTATCAATATGTCACATGGGCAATTTTGTATTTTTACCTTTCACTCTCTTTCTTTTTTCCACTACCAAAATATTTGTACCCAAAGCCCTATGGTGCAATAATAAAAAAACGGAGGAAGTATAAACTATACGCGTATATTGTTTAGATTATATTCAACAAAAATAAGTTGCAGTGAACACGACTTAAGTCTCGTGCAATATTGCCTTAAATAATAAAAATTTCCATGAAGAATAAGAATAAATGAAATGAACCTTATCGAGAGGAGTAAATTTTAAAAACTGGTCACTCCAACGGGTTGGATGAAAGTAAGCAATGGGTTGAGAAGCAAAGATTGCACTAGACATCTCTTCAGTACTTATTGGGGATTTCTTTATTTGAATATACTAGGCTGTGACACTCTAAAGTATTGTCCCTCGTTTATATAGAGAATGAAGTGCAGAAAAAAAATAAAATTGTGGACAATAATTGTTGAATTATTTTAGAAAGTGTGAAACAAACAAATAAATAAATAAATAAATAAAAGGCTATAAAATATATAGCCCTAATGTCGTTAAATTGCGGCTCAATAAGACTGTGTATCTAAGACTTAAAACATTGCATTCTCTTTTAACTTCACACTCGTCAGTGCAAATCTGTAGCTTTTATGGCGTAATATTTCTGTTAATATATCATAAAGATTAAAAAAAAGAGGTGTAATATTTATATCTATTAGTTTTGTGCCTCGTGCGATGTGCGGGTTGTTTATATGGACTTTTAAGATAAAATGATATTATAATTTAATTGGATTGAAAATAGAATTCTAAATTAACTTTTTTTTGCTACGAAGTCTATCTATATTTATCCAACGTGGTACGACACTTGGTGAAAAGTTAAAACGCTATATGATGTTGTCTTGTGGCCTAGTTATAAATTTATTATTTGATATTTTATCGTAAATTAAACTCTAAACTAACCATCTTATTCTAAACTTCTATCCTAATTTGATTGAAAATGGAATTTTCAACTAACTTTTTTTTTATCTTAGGAGGTTTATTTAAATCTATCAAAGGTGGCGCGACACTTGGCAAAAGTTAGAATGTCAAGTGTCGATATTTCATGACCTGGCTAAAAGTTTAGCTTTATATATTAGTTATATGATATATTACTCCGTATAAAGATTAAAAAAAAAAAAACACAAAAACTCTTACTTCCTCTTTTTTTATTAAATGCATCACTTTTGAAATTGCGGACTCCTAAAGTCCTAGATAATCAAATACGGAGTAGTACTTAATTGGTTAAGGATTACTCCCTCCGTCCCCTTTTGATAGACCCTTATACCATTTTTTGGTAACCTAAAATGTTAGTCACATTTGCTTTTTTCAAATACCATTAGTATTATTTTTTTACCAAAATTCTCTCCCATTTGCAAAAATACTTGTGCGAGGCCAATTTAATTTTCCTATGTAAATTTTGCTTTCCTATATACTTTAATTACTTTCTCTCTCCACTTTTTTGCATAGTCAATGTAAATTTAATTTTTCAATTAACTTTTGCTACTTCTTATTTATGTGTTACTAATTCCTGTGATTTTCTACCAAAAGTGGACAGAGGGAGTATATTTTATATTTATACATATAGAACATATTGAACACAAAGTTTCATATGTGGCTGACCACATTGTACGACCAAGATTACTTAGTCAGGGGTTACTTGGTAAGGGGTTATTCGGTCAAAGATTACTTAGTAGATCGGGGGTTGCATGGTCTGTTAGGGGTTTCTTGGCTAGGAGTTACCTTATTAGTGTTTTGATATGTGTCGGCCGGCCACACGGTGTAGCCAGCAGCACTGAAAACACGTGAATTATTTATTAGGCACCTAGAATTTTGTTTTAATTTTTAACACAAAGAAGATAATTTTTTTTTTTTTGCAAACAAATTAAACTAAGGGACACACCAGAAAATGACACGTGTCTTTTTTGGTGTATCTTTTAATATATGATTACTAAGTTAGTTCTCGTGACATGCACGATAACTTTCAATAACCATTATTGAACTATTATCTTAATTAAATTTTTATAAACAATAAAAAAAAAATTCTAAAAGTTAAAAAATCTTGATCAAAATAATATGGAAGATATGCTACATATAAAATTCACAAACTTTTATAATATAAGGTTGCCCAGACCGTGTGACCAACCATTATGGGGGTTACTTTCTTAGTGCTATAAGGGTTACTCACTAAATCAGGGGTTACTTAGTCATACGGTTACTTGGTTTGTTAGGGGTTACATTGCCAGTTAGGGGTTACTCGGTCGGTTAGGGGCTACTCGGTTAGGGTTTACTAAGTTTGTCAGGACCCTCAGGGGTTACTTAGTCGGTTAGGGGTTACTCGTTGATCAAGGAATACTTGGTATTTGTCAGCTGGCCACACGGTGTGGCCAACACCGCACACAAAAGTTGTTGTATAAAATTACGCAGAAAATCATCAAAATTATAATAAAAGTGTTTTTATAGCTATATAAATATTTGTGCTAAACTATTTTAAATCCTTTTTATTGTAAGTAACTATATTGTATAAGATTAAGGAATTAATTTATGTATTATGATTTTTTTATTTAATAGTATTATATTCAAAAAATTAAAAAAAAAGAGAAACATTATGACACACCAAGAGATGACATGTGTTATTGTTGGTGTGTGTTTTGTTATATATGTACTCCCTTCATATTTAATTACTTGCTCCAATTCTCCTTGAAAAATATTACTTCCTCTGTTCTTTTTTACTTGACCTGTTTCTTTTATCACGCTTGTCAATTTAAAATTTAAACGATCAATAACTTTAATTCTCCACAAGTAAAAATTATAAAAGTTATATATTATGATAGTAATTATTGAGGCGAATTCAAAAAGATCTTACATGAATATGTTTATCCTTATATATTATTCACAAAAGATGGTCAAAGGAGAAATGGTGAATAGTGTAAAAGTCAAAGCGGATCAAGTAAAAAAGAACGGATTTTTCTCCCTCGAAAGAAAGAGTTTCCGATCTCCTTCGAAAGACAAGGGTTTTTCGACCTCCTTCGAAAGACAAGGTTTATCTCCTCTTTTCGAGGGAGAAACTTCTTAGTTTTGAATCCATGGTAGCAGATCTAATGGATTGTCGTGAAATTATTTCGTTGGTGAAAAAGTTATCAAGTTTTCGAATACGAACAGATGAATCAAAAGGAAAACATCCTCACGGCTACAAAGCATCGTTAGATTGTCTCTCCAACAAGGCTGTAATTTTCAGCGATATAAGCGGGAGATGCTCCGCAGTGCAAGATCTACTCGACGATCGTAGTTTTTATGAAGGGATATTCTATTTGATTCAATATCTTATCTATTTGTTAACGTCGAATCTTTATTGTAGATGTCGTATGACTTTTAATTAATGTAATATTTTTGCTTTTCAAAAAAAAAAAGTAAAAAAGAACGGAGGAAATAAAATATAATATAAGACGACCATTAGTTGGAAGAGAAATAACAAAATATTGTTAAAGTTCAAGACCAAAAAAAAAAAAAATGAAACAAATAATAAATTTCATCGTGAATGAAATGTAGAGCAGGTATTAATATATAGAAGGAGCCGTTATTGATTGTGAGTTGTGACTTATGCAACATAATTTTACATAAAAAGAGTTTATGCATGATGATTTTTCCAATACTGTCAATTGTCTTATTATAAAATTCTAAATGATGAACTTTCCAATACCTTGAATTGTCATATTATAAATTCTAAATGTTGAATTTTCCAATATGGTTGCTTTGTTTCTTTTGATTGGTATTCCAATTTGGCAACTTGTTATACGGATTATTTCAAAAATATTTTACTCCATCTATTTTATAATATTAGTCCCATATATAATTTTATGCGTTTCAAAAAAAAAATCTACCCATATTGAATTTATTTAATTTATAACTTGATTTTTTTGTAATTAATTGGTTGTGAATTGATGACATGGCTCCAAGTAAGGAAAGCTTTACCTTAAATTATGCAATTATGGCTTGTATTTTCTTAATAAAAAATCAAAAAAGTTAAATAAGGTAAACTAATTATGAATTATGTTGTACTTTAATGTTAAATTCCAAATATATATATATATTTTCTTCTAATTTTATGTGATGGATTCCATACAGGACTAACATTATGAAACAGAGAGAGTATTGTATTTTATTATTTATTTATGAAAGATTACGGGAATATTTTCCTTGATTATTCACAAAGAGGAGCCACATATGAAAATACATTCTACAAGCCTTATCAAAGGCTAAACTATAGGCTAATAATTAGGAAACTAATTATCACCCTTGACTACAAGATATACATACAAAATATTATACAATGCAACTAGATTAAACTCGTTGCACGATTTAAATAATTTTATTATTTTGCATATGAAATAATTTTGTTATCATGCTTAAAAAATTAATTTTATCATTTGTGTAAAAATGAGTGTCAATTGTTCTTTAATAAAAAATGTATAGTGTAGATTAAAATAATAATTGTTAAAAAAAAGGATTAAAATAATAATGACAATTAATAACATCATCAATAGAAATGGAAGGAAACTTTTTAATGTGAGAATGATACGTAAGATAATTTAAGGGATGATAATGTAAGAAATGTTTTGTTTTAGTAATAGTTAATAGATATATTTAACACACTCACGCAGTAGTAGCGGGAGGCTTAGGAACGCTAAGACTTTCTCGAAAATCCTTAAATAAAACCCGTGGGAGACCCTTTGTAAAGATACGCAATCTGATAATGGTACGACACATGAAGAACTAGAACTTCCTCACGTGCAACCTTTCTCGGACAAAATGAATGTTTATTTCCATGTGTTTTGTACGCTAATGATTAACAGGATTTCCCGATAAATAAATAGCACTAACATTGTCACAATAAACAAGCATAGCCTTTGGAAATTTTGACATTTTCTACCGGGAAAAACACCTCGATTCACATTTGCTACCATTTAAAAAAAAAAAAAAATACTTTGCTACCACCTAAATCAAGGTTTGTTAGAAATTACTACCACTTAATGGAAACCATTAGGATACCGTTATTTATTAAAAAAAATAAAAAAAAACCCAGCCACCCCACTGCCACCCCTTATCCATTCAACTACCACCCCTCCCTCTCCCCTCTGCTAGCGGCCAATGCCAAAAGATTCGGCCGACTCTGGCGACCTCACCCCCTTCTTTTTTCCCTACCTATGAAGCCAACCCCCCTCCCTTTCCACCACCCACGAAACCAACCCCATCACCCACAAATCCAACCCCACCGAAATCAGTCCCCCTCCCTGTCACCTCCATCGGAAGCTACCCTCCTCCCCTTCCCCCACCCAAAAACCGACACCC